ATATCCTGTGGCAGGAAAAACCCTTTCTTTTTCACTAAACAGGAGAAAAATTTCAAGTCTATATAAAGTTGCCTATGAGCTGGAAAGTGAACATGTTCAATCTCCATTGACATTTTAGTGCATTTTTTGACAACTGTCACATTTTTAATAAAAGTTAAGAAAATGCACATAGCATTAAAGAGTGTTTCATCAAATGCTTAAGGGATTAACAAAATATGGAGCAAAGGACAAAAGTCACTGTGATGGATGAAACTTGAGAAAGCCAGAATTGTACAAATCCTTTGTCATTTTGAAGAGTCACACAAAACAAACTCTGGATACCTGTCCACTTTAAGGGTTTCTTCCTTAATCTTCTGTATGTAAACACAGTGCTCAACTCAGGAGTAGGACTCTGAATCCCAGCCTGCTGACAAGCAACATTCTGTGTGTTGCCATGATTGCCAAAGGATATAAATTTAGCCCTTGAATGAACCATGTATGATATCTGCTCTGTAAGTACCTGGTGAAAACTGCTAACAGCAGCAATAATGTTTCAACATAAAAGAAAAAAACAAAAAAACTACTTGAATCAATGAGTTAGAGGTCCATCTTTAAAACAGCAGCTTCTTCTTCTCAGAGCAAACAGTAAGCAATAGACAATGTACATTTGATGAAACATTCTTTGCACTGGAGAAACATGAAAATAAATATAGTTCAAGGAAGTATTCTCATACCTCTTTCTCAGACCTGTACTAGTTTTACTGGTTCAAGAAGCTTGCATCACATTTTGTCATTTTTATTTTACATATTGCTATCTGGGTCATTCAAATAAAATGCAGGTCTTGTAAAAGAATAAAAAAACCTTGACAAGTATGCATGTGCCAGGGACCAAATTAGAGGGTTCTTTGGTGCGATTTGTGTCCAAATTTTCAGATTTGAAGGATAATATGTACCAATAAAAAAAAAATCTGCTGTTAAGACATTTACAGCAGTGCTCTGTCTTGCTTCACATTACAAATCGAAAACAGCTGTTCTCAATAAGCCAATTTTATTTTTTAAATCAGGTGTTGCCAGAGTTTTGTATGTTAACCTGGACCAGTGATGGTTCTGTACCCTCCGCTGCTGTGAAACACGACATGAGCTAAAGGCAAGACCGGTTCTCACAAAGACATCTGCTTCAAGTTAGGAACCAGAACAGTGTTTTTAAACAGTCTTCTTAGATATTTTCTTGCCTTTCTTAAAAACAAGCTTATTTTTAATGTAGCCACGCTTCCTTTTTGCAGTCTAAAAAGAAAACAGAATACCTGGTGTTAGTGCAGGTTTCTTATGGATTAAAAACACGGATACACACATGGTTTACTGCAGAGTGGTGAAGACTGTCTTCATAGCCACTCAGCTCTTCCCGGGTCTGGTCTCCATGAAGGGTCAACGAGGACTCCCTGCTGCTCTACACGGAGGATGTGGAGACCCAGGATGAGCTAGACAAGGTCCTCAGCTTTATGAGGAAAGGACCAGCACAGCGCTCCTCCAAAGCCTGTCATATGTTCTTCGTCACCAAGTGAATGGATCCCAACCTGCCTTCTCAGCCGTGACATGCTTAGCTGTGAAGACTCACATTTCTAAGCATGCTAGACTAAGGATTCAGAAACTGTTTACTGGTGCTCCTGATTTAGGCTCCAAGAACTAGCTATGTCAGAAATCCTAATTAACTTGGTAACTTTTGGAGCCCCAATTCTCTTATCTATAAAAATGAGGATGACCTATACCTAGCCACAAAAATAAAAGAGAATAAAGTTACCTGGCACATTCTCAAGCACTTAAATATTAAAAAGCAAACACCACAGGGAAAAAAACAAAACCATAACATCGAGTTTCATACATCTTTAAAAAAATACTGTCAAACTGATGTCTGTGGTGTTAAGAAACAAATTACTGCCAAAATGTTTGCTATCTTACAGTCTCACAAGATAAATCATATAGGACACGTGTCTGACAATCTGACATTTTCATAGACACTGAAAAAAAGCAACACTTTTTCGTAATTCAATTCAACAAGTAATTCAATGCACCATCAAAGCAGTGGGTGAAGACTCAAGAGATTGATCCCTCGATTCAATTCTCATGTTTAAATATAACTTATGGAGGTGGTTTCAGAAACTGTGGTAGCTCAGATGGTAAAAAATCCGCGTGCAATGTGGGAGACCTGGGTTTAATCCCTGATTCAGGAAGATCCCCTGGAGAAGGGAATGGCAACCTACTCCAATTTCTTGCCTGGAAAACCCGCTGGACAGGAAGGCCTGGTGAGCTTTAGTCCACGGGGTCGCAAAAGAGTTGGACACGAGCAACAAACACATTGGCAAATGCTATATGGTGTACATACCTATTATGATACTCACATTAAAACAATTTAAAATTTTTCCAACAGAAACAAAAATATGGGGCAAAATTCAATCCTTAAGATCACAAAAATTAACTACTGCTAACTTGTCCACAACATATGTTACCTTATTATTAACTTATTAGGACAAAAAGAAGAAAAAAAAATTCAGAGGGTATAATCTGTAAAACTTTAAACCAGGCCAGGAGTTTATCATCAATACCCCCAAGATTTCTAACCTGAAACCTTCTCTAGGAGCTCCTGTAAGATGCCCCAGGTCTCTACAAGTGTGGAACCAGGCCCTCAGGGTGCTGGCTCTCTCGGAGCACTGAGCAGGCAGTCCTGGCCTACTAGGGCAGGACTGGCAGTCCAGGGCTTCGGCCCTGCTGGCTTGGCAGTGGCTGGACAGCTCTCACAGTGGCTGCTGTACTCACCCCCTCAAAAGCAGAAACTAGGATGGGGAGAGGAAAGCAAAGCAAAAATCATTCCTGTTAGTACAAATTACCTATAAAGCCATGGAAATCAGAAATACAAGATTCACATTGGTGGCAACTAGAATATATGCTTGGGGCATACAGGACAGATGGATTTTTATTTATCCATTCACCTGTCTATTTGGGAGAAATGATGGGAAGACAAAAGAGGTCAGATTAAGAAAATTCACTATCATCAATAGGACCCGCTAGTTCAATGGCTATGTTTTTCAGAAGAGGGGGACCTTAACAGGGCTGAGATGTCTGAGGAGTGACTGACTGCCTTGGGACCGGCAGTGTGTACTCTGACTTCTGCACTGATGTGACCCACGAGTTTCTCCCACCATGTGCTCAGGAGACACCAAGTCACTCGACACAACTGACACAGCGAGTGCCAGCTCTCTGACATGTTTCAATACGTTAGTCAAGATATGGTAACCTATTCCTGGCACAGGAAGTATCCATTTACATATCATACAGTTAATACTTAGCACTTTTATAGTATAAACTGAATTTGTATTCTGAGCATATCTGAAGTATATTTTAAGTAATACAAAGTGAAAGTGTTAGTTGTTCAGTCATGTCCAACTCTTTGTGACCCCATTGACTGTAGCCTGCCAGGCTCCTCCATCCATGGGGTTTCCCAGGCAAGAACACTGGAGTGGGTTGCCATTCCCTTTTCCAGGGGATATTCCTGACCCAGGGATCGAACCCTGGTCCATCCTGCATTGGAGGCAGATTCTTTACCGACTAAGACACCAGGGAAGAACCTTCAATGATTTAAAATAACTGATCTGGACAATTTAAACGTAAGCATCTTTCAAGACTTAAGACTGAAATCAGTCTAATAACAACTAGTATTATTAAGGGTTGTACTTTAAAATACAATCTTCATATTTCATCTGACTGCTCATTATTTTCCATCTCCCACAGAGGGCAAACCATATAAATACTCATTTTCAATAGTTTTTATAGCAAAGATTAGACCTATTTGGTTTAAGTGAGCTATAATGACCTCTAATAAAAGGCTTCGTTTCTTATTAAGTATTACAAAAGGACTGCAATGGTCTCATCATCATAATTCTGCCCACAAGCTTTTTTGTGACAATTATACTTAATAATTATCTAACGATAAATTTTTTGAGGATTCAGGACTCAATTCAACTTGAGCTTTTAATTAAATGAGTAATATAGTAACATTGTACTGAGACTGGAACGTGAAAATGCTATATAAATTTGCTTTGACCAAATGATCATGAATGAATCACAACTGTTACTGAGTGTTTGGCATTTTTACTTTCACAAAGGTTCAGAAACTGATGGCCACAGACACATCTTACTCTACGACCTAGTCTTTGTAATGGGAGTGGCACAAATTAAAGCTAGAATGTCTCTGAAAAATCTTGGCTCAGTTCACTGATAACCACTCTTCCCATGAAGAACTCTCCAGAAACAGCTGCTTCCTGGGGTAGCTTAAGTGCTCAGTTTGTAAGGACTGCCCTCAGTAGGTCGGAACTTGATATCTACTTTGTTAAGCCTTGGTCTTTACAAATCTGGCAAATGAAAACCTATTAGCAATTTTTAATAATTTTTCAGACAAACTGACTGATCTTGAGTTACTCTTTTATAGACCTGACTTCATTTGGTACCCACCTTCTTTGACAAATACTTCTGTTTGGGGAAAATGTTGGTTACTCGAGGTTTGTGGTCTAATGTCTCCCTGTTATCAGGGGCTTTCACTTTATATATCCTTACAAGCCAGTGCTCTGACGTGAAGGCCTCCTCCAAATGCTTGAATTTAATGTCTTTGTTTCCAATCTCAGCATTACGTGTCCGATCAAAACCTGGAGGTGTACGGAAATCCAGCTGCAAAAGTGACATGAGTATTGGATGTTAAACATACCGGAAAACATTTAGTACTAGAAGGGAGTGTTATCACCAGAGTACAACTCTCTCCTTTTAAACTAGTGAAACAGAATCAGAGTGATATGCTGTTAACAGTCCTCATATGCTGCTAACCAGACAGGAAGAAATCAGCAAGAGAGAAACTCAATGCATAAGAATTAGAGTTTCACTGAACCCTTAGAGTGGACAAGCAGCCTGCAGGCACAAAAAACAGCAAAATGAAATCCATGAAAGCCCTTCTTAAAGGTTTTTTCAGAGCAAACACACAGAAGGGCCTCCCTGCCTAGGCCTTGCACTACCAGATTACTTTGTCAGCCTCAAAGTTCTTCATCTGGCAATTTCGCACGACTGGCTCCTTTCTATTCTCTGGTCTCAGCCCAAATACCATCACTTCAGGGAAATCCTTTCTTGAGACTGATGACTGAGAAGTCTCCTCCACTGATTCTTTTATTCTTTGACTCTATAGTGTTTGTTGCTAAAATTTTTATTTGTTTTCAAAATTACCTGCATCCTCCACTAGGAGGTAAGGTGCACAATGACTTTACCTTATTCAGTGTGGCTCTATCTCACCAGTGCTACTTGTGAAATCAGAGCACAAGGAAGCCTGATGCTAACCATCCTGAAAGTGGCAACTACAAAGGACATTAAACCAAACCATGGGAAGATTAACCAGGGATGAGAAGAGCAAAAAATGGAGGGAAGGGAGAGGATTTTAAGAAATTCTCAGAGTAGGTTTATGCTGTCACATAAAACCTAAGTGATTCAATTTAAAAATAAGACCACAAGCAATAAATGCTGGAGAAGGTGTGGAAAAAAGGGAACCCTCTTCCACTGTTGGTGGGAATGCAAACTAATACAGCCACTATGGAGAACAGTGTGGAGATTTCTTAAAAAACTGGAATTAGAACTGCCATATGACCCAGCAATCCCACTTCTGGGCATACACACTGAGGAAACCAGATCTGAAAGAGACACGTGCACCCCAATGTTCATCGCAGCACTGTTTATAATAGCCAGGACATGGAAGCAACCCAGATGCCCATCAGCAGATGAATGGATAAGGAAGCTGTGGTACATATACACCATGGAATATTACTCAGCCATTAAAAAGAATTCAGTTGAATCAGTTCTAATGAGATGAATGAAACTGGAGCCCATCATACAGAGTGAAGCCAGAAAGATAAAGACCAATACAGTATACTAACGCATATATATGGAATTTAGAAAGATGGTAATGATAACCCTATATGCAAAACAGAAGACACAGATGCACAGAACAGACTTTTGGACTCTGTGGGAGAAGGCGAGGGTGGGATGTTTCGAGAGAACATCATCGAAACATGTATATTATCTAGGGTGAAACAGATCACCAGCCCAGGCTGTATGCATGAGACAAGTGCTCAGGTTGGTGCACTGGGAAGACCCAGAGGAATTGGTGGAGAGGGAGGTGGGAGGAGGGATCAGGATGGAGAATACATGTAAATCCATGGCTGATTCATTTCAATGTATGACAAAACCCACTACAATACTATAAAGTAATTAGCCTCCAACTAATAAAAATAAATGGGGGAAAAAAAATAAAACCAGAAAACAAACCTTGTCCAATGAGGGAATAACTTGTTATTATATATCTTACAACAGGAAAGGTATACTTCATGTCTTGAACATATTCTTGAGTAGGAAAGGCATCAGAATGAATGCATGCTAGAAGCATGGCTTAGAGCTCTCGATCAGACAGGAAAAAAAAAAGGTCCTTCAATGCTATCATTAGTGAACAGAGAAACTAATCTTTCACCCATTTTCTGGAGTAGATAATTATTATGCCCTTAGTGCTTCTCTCTTAGCATAGCATGAGGTTAGAGACCAGGCAGTTTGCCTTCAAAAGAAATCAAAACACAAACAAAAACTTAAACCTAGTAGTAAAATTATTATTTTTTAAAGCTACTTGCAGAGTAATTCCAAATGAGTAATGCAGAAGCATTATCTTGATCTGTGGTATTCATACAAAATTAAACAAGCAATTTTTCCTCTGCCTTCTAGTATCAACCAGAAAGCAGCATGGAACCAGAAAGTTTTCAATATAACCTTAGTATGAAGGTGTAACTTGGTATGACAACCATGCAATATGAAAGTTAGGAGGAGCAGCAGAGGCCACCAGGAGCCCCATTATGAACAGATAAGGAAAAAACCAAGCCCAGGGAGAACGCGACTCATCCAAGGATTACATGATATGATGGAGCCCGATATGGAGCCCAAGTTTGTGACAATCTGCTGTTCATTCCTTTTGCCACAATACTTCCCTGTCCATTCACTCCTTTCATTGACTACATCTTATGTAGCACATCATTCTAATTTTCTGGGTAACACTAACCTAGAGAGTCCCAGCTATTTGAGGTAATGGAGAACAGGGAGAGAATAAAAGTGTGAAGTGACTAAATAATCTAACCTTTTAATTTCCGGCTTTCCCTCACCAGGCAGAAGAGTAAGCTACTTAAGATCACACCACTTCCCACCTGAAAGACCTCTCCCTCGGAGAGCAATGTTTTCCAAAAACATGAAGTTAAAAAGGCAAGATGGCAGGCAAGGGTTGGATTTAAGCCTCTGTTAATTAACATTTTGGAAAGAAACCTCTGCTCTAAAATATATGTCCTCATTTTTCACACAGAAGTTTCAGAAAGTAAATTTAATAGAGTAGAAAAATTTTAGATGAGCACATTTTTCTTTAGAGCACAACCAAAATATTATCCTGCTTTTTAGAGTCAAACAAGACTACTGTTAAAATATTCCTGTTAATAAAGATTACGGAAAAAATCTAGAATAAAGCTTATAAAATAAAGCTTATAGAAAAAAACAAAGATTATAACTAACCTGCATTTCTCCAAATCTGTAGTATGACATTTTATACATAAGGCAATTCAGCAAAGTAGGGGATCCTGCTTTGTCTACACGGAATTCTCCTTGTGAGGTGAAATAGTCACTTTCCTATAGGAAAGAATCCAGAAGTTTCTGTGTCAGTTTAATATAACATATTCACAACTATAGGTTCCCCTTTCATTTCCCCATGAGAGCTAGCTTTTGGGGTTATCTTCATAAAGCCATATTTAGTTAAATCTCAAAAAAACCCACAGTATCAGAAGACAAATTCATAAAGTTAATGTGATCTCTTAAAAATGCACAAAACTACCATGGGTGTTTAACACTCAGTCCAGAAATTATTTATTAAAAGAAAAAAGTATCCAAGAAAACATAAAGAGAGCAATAGTTTGCTGGATGAAGGAGAGCAATTAATTCTACCAGACTTTAAACCATGTTATAATAAAACCTCAATAATTTAAAAAAAAAAAGTACCAACACCATGAATTAATACTAGGTATGCTGACTCTCTTCAACTGTCTCCCCTTCCCCAGCCATTATTCCTTTTCAGAGTTTTCCTAAATTTGTTTTATTTTTCCATATGAACGTCAAAACCGTTTTTTTTAGTTGGGAGGGGAACATTTAGAAAACTCTTATAGCAATTTTTATTGTGAGCTCATCAAATTTATAAATTAACCTCTGAGAGGGCCAATCTGATACTATTGACAGAAATTTCTTTTCTATGAATTTATCCTACAGATATTAAAACGTGGGCAAAATGATGAGTGTAGAAAGTTATTTACTGCACCACTGTTTCAGATGAAAAAAACTCGAAAAACCTTAATATCCATTAACAGGGACAGGTTAAATAAATCATAGTGCACACATACAATGGAACACACTATACAGATGTAAAAAAACAGAAATGAAGAAGGATCTGAGTATTTTAATATGTAAAGATCTCCGTAGAATATTGTGAAGTTAAAAAAAAAAAAAGCAAGAACAATGTGTATATTTTCCTACTAGTTATCTGCTTCAATTAGAATAAGAAAATAACAAGAGATTACCCTGGACTTTTTTCCTTTTTCTTTTTTTTTTGGGGGGGGGGGATAAACTTTTACTGTATGTCCCTGTATACTTCATTTTTTGAACCATGTGAATATGTAAATTACCTAACTCACAAAGCACAGGAAATTAGGATTTTTCTCTACATAAATGTTCAAAACATATCCCAATCGATCACGTCACAATATTAACACTGCTAAAAGCAAATCCACAAGTGAAAACTCACATACATGGAAGATTAAGACCAATGTAAATATAAGGAAATACTATTTATTAATGGTAGTTTAAGGGATTAATGTTGGGTAGTTAAGCATTTATGTTTAAACAGGAAATCTGGGGCTTTACTCAACTCTACCCCTGTCACACAAAATACATTCCCACGTTTCCCCAAAAGGTTCTTTTATTCTGGATCAGCAGTGAATCCTACTCTCCTTTTTTATGCCTTCATCATGTAACCTCACTGCTGGGTGTCCATCCTCTCCACGCCCATAGCTGAGTGGGAGGATACAGCAGAGTCTACCTACAAAACAGGCTGGACATGACCTGATGAGCAGAAACATGGATGTACCACAGGACCTCTGGAAGGGGACAGAACTGTTGTAGGGAAGGCACCCCAAGAAGAAAAGATTATAACATGCATGTCTGATAAGCCAAGGAAAGAAAACACAGAACAAGTTTCATGGGCTAGGGGAGAGTGACAGAGTGGAAAACGTTGATAGAAGAACACGAGGCCAGCAAAGGGAAGTATTAAGGGATTGCATTCTGAGCTAAGCAGTTTTGATTTTGTACCAATGGTTTACTATTTCAATCATCATTCTGATTATTCTAAACCAATCATGAGGCTGAGGGTTCATCTACATTACCAGAAAATCTCTTAATAGCACTACAAGTGAATTCCTGGCATCTCTATTAGTGATAAACTGAAATGGCCCTAATCACCACCGTTAACACTAGAACCTAGAACAAGACCTACTGCTCGAAGCATATAATGCTAACTGGCTGAAAAACAACTTGCCCACAGCACCAAGCTGCTAGCGGCAGGGTTTAGTTGCAACTCTTTTATCTGTCTGCTTTTTTTCCCTGAGGCTCCTTTCCTTAAACTAACGGAGACTTAAAAAAAAAAAAAGCTGTAAATAACATGATCAATGTCATGTTAGATTGGGAGAGGGAACAGACTAAGGCAAAGATAGCAATTTGAACGCTACTGTCCTATTTCAGGTTTATGAGCACTGGGGTCAATACCAGAGTGGAAGCAACAAAAATGGAAGGAAAGGGCAAATGTGAGAGGCCGTAGGAGTAAAAGCAAGAATCTTGGAAAAACACTGTTTCCTAGAGGAGAATGGAAGTACCAGATTTCAGAAGTTTTAAACCTGGGAAAATGTTTATGCTGTCTTCAGTGAACAGTAGAGTGAGGGACTGCTCTGGAGATAGGATGATGATAACAAATACAATGCAGTCAGCAAGGGAAGAGAGCTACCTGGACTCTGGGAGCGGTCCTGCACATAAGAACGCCCTAGTTTCTTACCCGAATATCTTTTGGATGTTCCCCTTCAGCTATCCTAACCATCCAGAGAAACTTGTTGATGTCGTCACCAGAATAGCCAATAACCCCTCCAAAAATAATCAAAACATAATCTACATCCAAACTCCTCATGATTTTATAAGCTGCTGTTTCATTTGAAGACATAGCTTTTCCCACCTACAGAATAAAAAAAAAAAAGTGAGAGTATGTGTTCTCAGCCCCAAAATAACACTAAAACCAAACATGAACGCACATTTTTACCTTAAAATAGAATGCATCTCAAAAGTTTGATTCACATGTAATTCCTTTTATAGAAACAATCTGCTATGAATTCAACAAATTTCATGAGATTTAATAAGCACCTCCCTTACTATAGCCAACTACAGCAGACATGTCAAAATCAGAATACGTGCTCTTATATTTTCCTAATAATTTGGTCGCATTAAGTTAACACTTTAATATGAAAGCAAGCAAGCTTAAAAGAAGTACAATTTCTCAAAATCTCAGGCTGGGGATGACCATCCATCTAGCTAGAACAAATATATCCTTTTCTTCAGTCTACCAAATATCTAATGATTAGCCACAACACTAATACAAACAAAATTCATTTGGCTAACACCCAGCTATCTATTTAAAATCTTTAGAGAACAGAGAGGTGATTACTTTAATTAATGAAAATTAGTTAATAGCTAGAGTGTACATAATCTGCATGTTCATAAAACACAGTGCACTTGCTTTACACATCTGCAAATAATTTTCTCAACTTACGAAATGGAAAATATAAGACAAATACAGTAAGTTTCAGATTTTGCCTCATTCTCCAGCATATAGCCTCTGATTCTGAATGATATGTAAACAAATTCTAGTCTTAAAAACCAGATAAGTAAGCATACCTTGAATCACTTTACTGAACAAATATGTAGAGAAGTATGTTGAAAATTCACCAAGCAAAAAGTACTTCTTCCCCAGTTTTCCTACTTAATCACAAGTGAAGTCTGATGTCTAAGTAGCGATTAAAGGCTTGTAACTTTTGGTCTTTTGTTGGTCAAGTTCTTACCAGTGCTATGTGGCTGTTATTCCAGGTGTTGTTATCCACCAGAGTGGTTCTATTAGCCATCCCAGCAATCTGATAGCCGTAATCCCACCAAGACATCACTCGGGCATGTTCATCTGTATTCTGCCTTAGCCAAAAGTAAGCTTCTCTGAAATCATCTAAAATATTCCTAGTTCTGAAAAGAATCACAATATTCATTTAAATAAGACCTTATAAATGTGAAGATGGTTTCTTAAAATCTCGGGGTGCCAGGCCACTAAGTAATTTCATATTTTAAGGATGGTAGTTAAAAAGCCTCCAGGGTAGGGAAGGAAAAAAAAAAAAAGAAGACCTAGATTCGTGCTTCTTTAATAGGCATACAAACCACCAGGCTATCACGTAAAAAAGGAAATTCTGATTTAGTAGTTTTGAAATGGAGCCTGATATTGCACAAGTCTGAAGAGCACCCACGTGAGGCAGAAGCTGGGGTGGGGGCAGCACAGAAACCACCTGCTGTTAAGTTTCAGCCGCATTAGAATCCCTGGGGCACTACTACTTCTTTTTTTTTTTCCCCTGGGGCACTTCTTAAGCCACAGATTCCTGAGTCTCACCCCCAGGTTTCTAACTCTACATGCTTAGGTGGGGTGAAGAATGTGCATGTCTAATGGGTTTCTTGGTAATGATGACGCTGTGTCCAAGCATGACACTTTAAGACTAATGTGTATGTTATATATGCAAAGATATTCAGACAGACCTCTGAATTCTATCTTTTGAGACAAAAGAAAAGAGCAGGTGTGGAATCCTTTCATAGTCAAGCCATCTTCTTACCCGTCATGATTGTAAGAGGCCAGGACCACGCTTGGGCTGGAGTAGGCATTGCTTGTGACCCAGGTGCAGTGGACTGCAAACATCATCAACAGCATCAGCATGAGCATGGTGACAATGCTTTTTATATTAGGACCTAATCCCTCTTCTGTTTTTTCCTGCTCGGTCACATGCTTCCTCACTTTGCCTGCCTGAAAATACAGAAAACTGATGAGACAAATTCATCATCTGACTTGATTTCATTAAGACATCACATGGAGAAGTTGGGAGAATGTATCTATCAATTTAAGTCTTTCAAGAGGAGAATGTATAACCATCAGGAATTCTTGTGTGGGTCGTACAATATTTTCTAAGAATTATCGAGGTATAATCTCAAGTCAACTGTCAATGAGAAGACTTCCAGGAACTAAACCCAATCCAGGAACTGGTTGCATAGCAAAATATCTCCAGTAAGAAGTTGCTTTGGAACTCAACTGACCTTATGTTTAAATAAATATGAAGGGGAGAACCAAATGGTCTCATCCTGGCAACTTTTCCTTATAAAAAAATTGAATTCCTCATCCCGAAAAAAGCAATGTTCAGTTATAATCCAGGATTTTGTAGGACTTTAGTACAGGGAAAAAAAAAAAGCATTATCAGAATGAGTTTTCCAATTTCCAATCCCCAAGTCAAGGCTTGTTAAAATCAAGATTGTATTTTTGAAAACAAAACAATAAACCTCTTCAAAAACCAGGAGAGAACAGGACAGAGTCAGAGGTTCTAAACTGCAAGGTTAATTATTGAGAAACCACAAAACAAAAATAAACACAAAAGCAGGCATGTGCTTTAATAGCAGTAATCTGTATCAATGATACTGGACCTATCAGAGTAAGGAAAGAAAATTTTTTAATTAATATTTATACTAGGAAGTTTCATTGCTTACTGCTACTTAAAAACCTAGTCAATATAGTAAAGTTTAATTTGTTGTTCAAGACAAGTGCTCTAAGTCTTATCCACACTTCCACCAAATATAATTCTGCTCTGTTTCCTGAGATCTTAAAAGTGAATTACATTATATGGGCCCAGCACCTAGTACTAATGAACTGGAGACTTTAAAAAAAAAAAAGGAGGGGGCATTTAATACGCTTCATATGGGGTTTCCTAGGTGGTGCAGTGGCTAAAGAATCCACCTGCCAATGAAGGAGACGCGGGAAGATCCCCTGGAGAAGGAAATGGCGACCCACTCCACTATTCTTGCCTGAAAAATCCCATGGACAGAGGACCTTGGCGGGCTACAGTCGATGGGGTCGCAGACAAAACTGAGCACACACGATATCCTTCATTTACTATTCAGTCTACCAGGTATTTAAAAAGTTTACACTGAATATGGACTTCAAGGATAAACCCTTGTGCACATCATTTCAGAAAGATTTATAGTGTTAAATCTTTTGTAATTTAGTAAGAGCACCAGCTTTTTGCTCTCAAAATTGGGTTTTAGTTTATAAAACCTGACCCAAAAGGTGATTATATACTCTGATGACATTCTATTTTCATATTCTGAGTGAAAAGACGAACTCAAAGTGTCAATTTGTCTAGATTCTTGTTTAACCACACTTCTTAATGTGTATGATTCTTACTATGGTGGAAAAACAAAACACATAAAACTTTTAAAGGCCTTACTTTAGATTTCCCACCTTATCATACAAATTTCCCGGGTTTCTCTTGTCATCCTCATCACTGCTGTCCTCCACAGGCGGGTTTTCCCTTTTCATGTCGTCCCCCAAATAGTGCTCAAAAACATTTGAGAATGCAATTGCAGACAGCATGCAGACGACTGGAGTCAAGGTCAACATCAGCCGCACCATCACGCCCGCAAAGTAGACGGCACTGATGGCATACAGCGCAACTGCAAAGACAAGTTCTCTTGTAATATTTCAGGAAACAAAGGGTCCCAGGAAGACCCACTGAATATTCAAAACTACTTCAAAGGACAATTAAAACACAGCCAAACATCTCATAAAAGGGCTGTTTTTAAACTGATAATCTGAACCAATTTTAAAGTCATATTTACAGATTATAACTAGTATTGACTAAATTAACACTGCATATCAATAGTTGAGAGCAATGTATCAGGATTCAAATTAACTATAGCTATTATGGGAAGTGAGACAATTCGTTATTTGTCAACAGTATCACGTATTAGAAAAATCCATAACAGAGGAAAATGTGTTTGGTGAATTATATTATTAGGCACAGTAAGATTATAGAATCAAATAGAGTATATGAAAAGCTCGTGCCAATATTTGGCATAAAGCCTGCTTTAAAGTAAAAACAGGATGAGAAGAAAATAATTTATTAACCAAAGGAGGAACTTATGAAGCTATTACCAAGAAACTTAAAAAATCTGGAAGTACTTTCCAACAGTCAAACTGTTCCAGATAATGTGCTCACCACAGGGAACCACAGGGAAAGGCTCTATTCATTTCTGGCTAGAGGCTGTGACTTCACAAAGTTACTGAGTCATCTGAGTGTCCATCTCACTTGAAACCAATTCATACTTTTTTCCTGACTAAAAAATACATTTACTATACAATATTGTTTATCTCAGTGAATTTTTATATGCACACACCTATGTAACTGCCACCCATATCAAAATACAGAACATCTGTATTGCTCCTCAGGAGAATCCCTCATGCCTCTTCCTAGTCAATAACCACTACCCTCTCCCATAAAACAGGTAATCACTATTTCAACTTTCAAAGCAATAATTTAACTTTCCTCATTCTTAGTTCAGTTCAGTCACTCAGTCATGTCCGACTCTTTGAGACCTCATGGACTGCAGCAAGCCAGGCTTCCCTATCCATCACCAACTCCCGCAGCTTGCTGAAACTCCTGTCCATCGAGTCAGTGATGCATTCCAACCATCTCGTTCTCTGTCATCTCCTTCTCCTCCTGCCTTCAATCTTTCCCAGCACCATGAGTCAGTCCTTCACATCATGTGGCCAAAGTATTAGAGCTTAAGCATCAGTCCTTCCAATGAATATTCAAGATTGATTTCCTTTAAGGATTGACTGGTTTAATCTCCTTGCAGTCCTAAGGACTTTCAGGAGTCTTCAACACCACAGCTTGAAAGCATCAATTCTTCAATGCTCACCTTTCTTTATGGCCCAACTCTCATATCCATACATGACTACTGGAGGAACCATAGCTTTGACTAGATGGGCTTTTGTCAGCAAAGGAATGTCTCTACATTTTAATATGCTCTCTAGGTTTGTCACAGCTTTCCTTCCAAGGAGCAAGTGTCTTTTACTTTCATGGCTGAAGCCACCATCTGCAGAGATTTTGAAGCCCACTGCTCCCATTGTTTCCCCATCTATTCGACATTAAGTGATGAGATCGGATGCTATGATCTTTGTTTTTTGAATGTTGAGTTTTAAACCAGATTTTTCACTCTCCTCTTTCACTTTCATGAAGAGGCTCTTCAGTTCTTCGCTTTCTGCCATAAGGATGGTGTCATCTGCCTCTCTGAGGTTATTGATATTTCTCCCAGCAATCTTGATTTCAGCTTGTGCTTCATCCAGTCTGGCATTTCTCATTATGTACTCTGCATATAAGTTAAATAAGCAAGGTGACAATATACACCCTTGACGTACTCCTTTCCCAATTTGGAACCAGTCCATTGTTCCACATCTGGTTCTAACTGTTGCTTCTTGACCTGCATACAGACTCCTCAGGAGGCAGGTCAGGTGGTCTGGTATTCCCATCTCTTGAAGAATTTTCCAGTTTGTTATAATCCACACAGTCAAAGGCTTGAGCGTAGTCAATGAAGCAGATATTTTTCTGGGATTCTCTTGCTTTTTCTATGATCCAACAGATGTTGGCAATTTGATCTCTGGTTGTGCCTTTTCTAAATTCAGCTTGAGCATCTGGAAGTTCTCAGTTCATGTACTACTGAAGCCTATCTTGGAGGATTTTGTGCAAGACTTTGCCAGCGTGTTAGATGAGTGCAACTGTGTGGTAGTTTGAACATTCTTTGGGGTTAGAATGAAAACTGGCCTTTTCCAGTCCTGTGGCCACTGCTGGGTTTTCCAAATTTGCTGGCATACTGAGTGCAGCACTTTAACAGCATCATCTTTTAGGGTTTGAAATAACTCAGCTAGAATTTCATCACCTCCATAAGCTTTGTTCGTAGTGATACTTCCTTATTCTTAAACTTCATAGAAATAAAATTATATAAAAATGTTCTCTTTTGTACTGACTTCTTTTGTTTACCCACGCTATTCTTGTATTAATTGTTGTGCTGTATTCCACTCTACAAATGCATAAGAATCTCTTTTTTCTACTGCTGATAACCTTTGTAATGTTTCTAATTAGGGGCTATTACGGATAAAATTGCTATGTACATTCTTAAGACACGTCCTTTGTTAGACACACACTCCCTTCTCTCAGTATCTATCTAGGATTGGGACTGCTAAATCATGAATGGGCAATATGTTAAGCTAATTCGTCTTGAGTGATGTAGTATTAACACGGCTTTCTTCAAAGTCCACTGACTTATATAAACCAAAAAAAATGAGTGCCCCATATAAACCAAAAAAAATGAGTGCCACTCTTTGGTTAGCACCTATGCAGATGCTATTTTCTCTCTCCTGACATCACTCTGAAACTTCTGAGTGTCATGCATGGTCCAGGCCACATATTTGTACAAGATATTTGCTTGTGTGACCCTGTGCATATTACAGTGTTTTTAGTTTCAGGTTTTACCTTAAACACTGACTTTAAAATAGTTTGTAATTCTAAGACTTGTTGGTTGAAAATTACACAAATCTATCTGCCAAGAGGATATTTACTTACAGGTGATTCTATTACAAAATGTACTTTCCACTGAAATTTTTTGGATCATGGATGCCCCTGCCAAAGTCTTCCTACTTAGAGTTAACTGAGAAAACATAGTCAAGTCTATTCTGTCAACAAAGTTATAATTTCCAATTCTCAGCCACAGACTATCATTACCTTAACCTCTCAGAAAACAATAAATTGAATGAAAAGCTTACATACTAGTACAAAATTTAAACAGTTAATAATGAGAGTATATATAATGCAAATTCCCTTAATTTTTCTTGGTTAAGCACTTATACAAAGTAAGAGACGAAAGTTTATCTTTATGCAAAGTTGAGCAATGACAAACAAAACTTTAAGGTGGAATGATAATCTCAGTAACAAAAATAAATCAAAGTATTTATTAAAAACCTCTTACCAAATACTCTTTCATCGTTGATATTTTTAATGCAGAACCACAGGCCTGCTGGGAAGGTACACACAAGAATATGTAGATCAAAGAAGAAAGATACCCAAGTCGTAGGTTGATGCTCAGACACTGATGCAATAATTGGAATGTGTATTTTTGCATACCTGGTATTAAAGAAGTTAACATTTTTTAAAATTAAATGATAAAACAGCAGCTCCTTTTAGGTAAATAAACTTTCTTGGATTGTACTAATAGATAAGGTTCCCATCTCTCCCTCTTCTTGTTTAAAAATACATTCCAATGTTACCTGCTATAGTGGATATAAATCTGACACACATTGGTAAATCCAAAAATCAACATACTTCCCCCTAAAATTAGAATTATCTAAGGACAGTTATAAAAGTGTTGGCTCTGACTTCTAACACAAAAATCCTTGCTCAAATAGAAATTTCTTTTGCACTTGTTCTGATGCTGTAAAGAGCAATACTGCATAGGAACCTGGAATGTTAGGTCCATGAATCAAGGCAAACTAGAAGTGGTCAAACAGGAGATGGCAAGAGTGAACATTGACATTTTTGGGATCAGAGAATTAAAATGGACTGGAATGGGTGAACTTAACTCCGATGACCATTATATCTACTACTGTGGGCAAGAATCCCTTAGAAGAAATGGAGTAGCCATCATAGTCAACAAAAGAGTCTGAAATGCAGTACTGGGATGCAATCTCAAAAA